CCGTGCGAACGTTGTCCTCAGGAAGGAAACTTTTCAATAAGAAACGCGTGCATGCACATCACAGAGAGAGCGGGTCTGTAGCTTGCTGAAACGTTGGTCAATGCAAGACGTTTGAACAAAACCAAAGTCTCTGTGCCGCGGCGCTTGTGCGTCTCCCTACTGCTGTATGTAGTCTACATAGTGGATTGTTGACCCTACGATCTGCATGGACAAGCTTTTGTCGTTGAAGATAGTCGTCCTCCTTGGTGTGCAACGCATACACAAGCCAAGAGAGCGGGTTGTTCGTGTTGCTGAACCTCCTGGTAACGCTATGACAGACAGATATAGGTACCTAACCTGGTGCACGGATTTCGTGGAGACAAAAATGTCAGAGTAATAGTAGCGCTGCAATGTAAGCAAACACTCAATCGATTGCAGTTCTATGTATGTCAACGCACTTCTTCGCTGCTTTCAACCAGTGTGCATCTTGGTTGCCCCCTCTGATCTCGATCAAGCTCGCACGCGCCACGCAGCTTTTGCAGCCTTGTTGTCGCGCTGTCCGCTTGCCCATGATATGAGTCCACGCGTTGCGCGACATTCTGCACTTTGTCGAAATGCCTCTCTCTGTGCAACGCATCCAGCACCAAGGGGGCCATTGAAGGGAAGTAGCATGTCCTCTTCATGAACAGCCACATGAGATACTCGACGCTCCGTGTACACACGAAGTCCGAACCCCCACTGCCCTTCACGGCCGCAAACAGCTCTTCTCACCATATGCTCTGCTCGTGCGCATGACGAATCACCAGGCCCACCATCGACGATGTCGTCGGTTCGATCGCACAGGAGATGCTCGCCCCCTGGGGGCTCGCCTTCCGGTTCCCCACGGCGAGGGACATGGTTCCGAGCGTCTCCAGCAGCCTCTTTCGAGACGGAAGCAGGTCCCTCGACATGAACCTGGATTTCCACGAGACTAAGGACGGGTTCGAGCTGATTGCCGACCTTCCCGGGATGAAGCAAGAGGACGTCTCCATTGATGTTGACCAGGAATCCGGCGTGCTGACGGTGTCGGGCGAGCGTAAGAGCAAGAGGGAAGAGAAGCGCGACGACAAGGACGGCGACAGGAAGTGAGTGACCCGGACGCCCGGTTCTTGGACTCCCGTTCGCGTATGTAGCGTTCTTCGTGGTCCAATCGTCTCAAGGCTTGTCCGGATCACCTAGCTATCTAGGTGTTCATCGGCGTTTGATGCAATTTTGTTGAGGCTTTGCCAAGTTGGTGGTGTGATGGCCTGGAAGACATGTAAGCTCGTGGTCACGAACAGCACAGAACGAAATTTCGGGGCAGTCATGGGCTGCCTCGAGCTTCTTTCCGGTCGGCATGAAGGTCGTCTACTGCTTACGGCAGCCAAGATCCTTCTTCGTGATGACACTCCATGACACTTCCGAACGACCGAATCCCCCGCGCTCAATAAGCAAGTCGACCGACCTCGATCATGTACCAGCCACAAGACGCTTCCCAGGCGTCGTTTCTCTCTGTCCGCTAGATCTACAACTCTTGACGCACCCACCGCCCCTTCCGAATCGTCCGCTGTGTCTCTCTCGAATGAAAACACGAACCCTCCTGTCCAACATCACAGGTATCACTTTGTCGAGCGTTCCTACGGCAAGACCTCCCGGTCTGTCCGCCTCCCGGAGGCAGCGAACACCGCTAACGCCAACGCCGACCTCACGGACGGCGTCCTGACCATCACCTTCCCCAAGAAGGAGGCCCCCGCCTCCAGCCGCTTCCGGATCCCGTTGGGCGGCGGCGGTGGCGGCGGGGTCGGGTCTGGCGACGGCAAGGTTTCCATCAAAGGAGGCGCTGCTGCTACCGAAGGCGACACTGGGTCCTAAGGGGACTACGCTGAGTGACCTGGGGGCAACTCGATAGTGATGATAGTTGTCGCCCTCTTATAGAGGTGGGTGCGTGCATGTTTGTTGTGCGGAAGGGTGTACAAGTAGAGGAGAGCAATATATGGTGTAGTAGAGGACTGTAGAGAGGAGCAGAGAAAGGGCGATGGAGAAGAAGTGGTTCACGCTTTGACTCGAGCGTAGAGACCGACGTAGAGCTTGCTGTTTCATGCCTTTGTGTGATCGAACAACGAAGTAGCGAATAGCAGTTTGGGTTTTGGTGCGTCTTCGCGACGCGGATGGGTGTGTTGTTTGTTTGGGGAAAGGACGACGACGCGTAGTCAGATGAGGGGCAGACGAAGGTGCGTTTTTCTTGGTTGGCCGCACAAACGACTGGAGATGTAGAGTGACGGGCGGGCGGGCGAGGGGTGGGGGGGCGATGAGAGCCTTCACCTCTCAACCTGCAGCTTATTTGCTCCGCGGGTTTGCTTGCTGCCTAAGCCGAAAAATTATGTGGGCCATCATTCATTTCCACGATTGGTGATGACGTGGCCATGCTGAGGAAGGAGTCCGTGACCACTCCGCCTGAGGGTGCTTCACTTGTACTTGGTGCCTGTGACAGTTGCATGGTTGCGGCCGGTGCTACCCAAGCTTCACCCTAGACACTTCGGCATGACATGTACCATCGAGCCCTGCCCCGGGTGGGTACTCTTCCTCGTTGGATATAGCGTACTCGTAACTTCTGAAAACACACGTAGATGTCAACCCGAACTCAAAGAATATTAATATTCATTTCTTGAGGTAGCGTAATCTCACGTCGAGGGATCGACTTTCGGGATCTTTCGGACATCGAGGCCATCTTGACGCTCGTGTTTCGACGACACCAACACCATCCAGCCGTGGCCGCCGTAAGCCCGTAAAACGCTACCACCGTATACACGACTGTATCTTATATCGGCCGAGACGTGGGTACTTCGCCTGTGCAACAACAATTCCTGCCTTTTAGGCCAGCAGAGAACAATTATTTCAATCTTTGAAAATGAGGCCGCTTGGTAAAAGGGCAAGAATTACTTGGCCTCATCAAAGCTGTGGCAAGGAAAAGGCACCCAAATCCCCGCCATCTGCAGTCCATGCGAAGTTACTTGAATACAATTATACCCAATCGCCATGGATAAATACGGCAAAAAACGCTTCATCCTAAGTCTCCATTGCCGGCGCCATAAGTCATTTCGCAAAAAAAAAATTCTGACGAGCTCTATTCTTTGCGTCAGTATGGATAAACAGTATGCGAGACCCGCTAGTTGAGGGTGGCCAGCCCGCCGTTTCGGAAAGCTTAACACTAGCACACAAAACGCCACCGCTGGCTTCCTACCCTACAGTGCCGGCCCACTCGTAAGAAACACCTACTTCAGCTGAGGCTCAAATCTTATTGCCGCAGCCATAGTGAGCTGAATTTCTGATGTCGGCATTTCCTTTTTTTTCCCGACGAGAATTGCACGATTTGCTCAATTTCGCCATTTCCTACCTTTTCGCCATGCGAATTGCACGATTTCTTATCATCCCTGTTTCCTTTTCCATCCACGAAGCTTTGCACTACCCGCGGGGTACATGCTTGCACGACACCCGGCGGTACTGAACTGAAAAAAAGAAGAAGCGCAAAGTCATTGTGCTAATAATGCGCGTGCGGAAAAAATACACCGTATATCCCTAACGCCCTTCGAAATCGATTGGTGAAGTTGTCAAAACTTGGCATGCTCTATCCCGATTGGTTAATGTTGCGAACGTTGGGGGTTCGCGCCCTACTGCCCTGCCGGCGTGGCTGTTTGACCTCACACCCCCCCGCCGGCTCATTCGAATCGTCGATCGGCTCGATCAACGCCCACGCTCCTACGGCTGCGTTCGCCTCGTCTACATCATATGCATCTAGAGGCATCTTCACACTGATGGTGCTTTGATCGTACGCCAAAACCACGCGGTAGTCGTACGTGTGGCTGGTTTGCGGGGGCGCTGCCCGGCTGATCTACCCCAAGAACCACCCCATATCACGCCTCAAGAACACGCAACGCTCAATCAATGCGCGATCCAGCTTTTCTGGAGGAGACTCTTGAAGGACGGAATCCGACCGGAAGCTCCATCGCGATGATGTCATCGTCGGAGTCGACGTCATCGTCGCTGTCTAGCTGTGACAGGGGGTCTTGAACATCGCCGTGGTCATCACCTAGCAAATGAAGCGATGTAAAAAAAGTTGTCGAGAAAAAGCCGGCGTGAGACACGCGTGTTTGAACAAATTCACAGCCCCCCACCAGTGCATGCAAAACGAGGGGCAAAGGCGAAATACAAACCGGACCTAGACTCGAAAACTTATCATGATCATTATGTAGGGCTGTAAAAAAAAACTTCTTTTATGTTTCTCGCCTTGTTATGGGGATCACCAAGATGGCTTGTATTCCTCCTGAATCGACCTCTTTCGAAAGATATCGCGAAAAATCAAAAATGGACAAATTGTCCCAGATTGACCATAGGTTGCACAAGATACCACACCCCCAGGACCGAATCTGCCGATTGTAGGGAGGAAAAATATTGGTGACGGTGCCGAGCATGGAGGCGTTGGGACCTTCTGGTCGAGAGTTTGTCCGAACATAGATCATGTGACGGCTGTGGCCTCCTCGTCGTTGTGCAGGAATCGAGATTGAAACAACGGTACTGACTGCTTGTGTACTCTATTCACAGCAACTTGGTATATTCATACATGGATAACGCCTCCCTCGTTAATGCAACCGAGGAAAATTGACAGTCCCGTTTCCAGAAACCGCAGACAAATGTGGGCAAGACACGAAAGAGCCAGCTTTCGGATTCCAGAAAAGTTTCGGATTCCAGAAAAGCCAGAGACTGCTGTCTCGCCACCCCCCTCTCCACACGCCTCATTCACAAAGCAGAGAACGACCTCGACCAACTCTCAAGGAGTTACAAGCAAACAGCGATACCGAAAGACCAAGGATCAGCGACCATAAAACCTGTACCCAACGGCAAGCCAACGCATCATGAGCCTCACCAACAACAACCCAGCGACGTCATCGGGCCGTTCGAGGTAAGCCTTGGTTGCAGTAGCGGCACGTGGCCTGTACATGAGATGGGGCTCAAGTTGCACACCAGCGACACCAACTGCTTGCACAACAAGTCGCCATCCACGAGAGAGAACATCTCGGGAGTTACTGCTGTAGACCGAACCAGGTCGGCGCAACGTGACGAAGTACCATTGTTCGTGTGACAAGAGCAGTGTATCGGTACATGGCGCGCCTCGAGGTATGTATGTTGAAAGTCCGAGGAAGCATGCCGGTACAGCAGTACCAACAAAAACAGCTGTTACAGTCGGAGTCGACTCGAGCAGTGTGCGCTGGGAAGCCTCTGCGCTGATTACGTTGCGGTGAAGCTTTCAGTCACTGCCACACCGTCCCGACTCGACACCGCAACCATATCAAAACTTCGTGCGAACGTTGTCCTCTGGAAGGAAACTGTTCATTAAGAAACGCGTGCATGCACATCAAAGAGAGAGCGGGTATGTAGCTTGCTGAAACGTTGGTCAATGCAAGACGACTGAACAAAATCAAAGTCTCTGTGCCGCGGCGCGTGTGCGTCTATCTACTGCTGTATGTA